ACCTGATGGCATGTCAAATACGTCGAAAATTTACGAGTTAAACCACATTGATTCAAGAGGACATCTAGATCTCAACTTGAGGAAATTTTGTAGACCTAAATATATTACATGACTTCAAAAACATCTTGAAGCTAACAATTTCCATACTATCATAAATCAAGAGAAAAATGCATAAAAAGAACGAAAATATTTTTGGCCGCCTTCTTGTATGGAGATTCCCCACTGTGCGACGCCAGAGAGGCAGCTCCCACACCTGGACCCTACCTATCGACCCATCAACTCATGAACCGGGGACCAACGGCTTTACTTCCCTTCCGAAAGAAGGCGTGATCAGAGTTGTTATTAATCAGAACATCCCGGTGTTACGATGTGCCTAGCCTACCCAGTTGACCGATTTTCGCATTCGATCTAAAAAAAATGACCTACAAACCTGCTGCTACTTATTTATTCAATTCTTTTCTACAGTGATTCAACAATTTCCGAGCTAAATCAAATATTTTCAAAATTGGTTTAAAATTTTTAGTAGTGAGATAAAATCAGAACCGATTCAGGAAATTCCTAATTGAGGTGATATTTTTCAAAGCAGATTCAAGACTCAGTCGAATAAGTCATCAACATTTTTCTAACTAAGTGTAAACCTTTCTGTTATGTTATTCAATCCTTTATTGTTGTCAAAGCTTCCCTGAAGTGAACCAACATATCCCGAACCTAAGCTTTAAAGAATCGGTTTCGCATTTTCTTGCCGTTGGTCCCCGGTTCATTCATATTTTCATAGAAACTTTGATTTTCTGTTCTGCCAATTTGAATTTCTGCTCCAATATTTAAAAAATAATTTCGATTTTATAGAAAGGACCTTGCTGAGGGTTGATTTTTTGAATTTTTGTGAGAACCGAGTTTAAATTAAAAACAAATCGTATTTTGATGAAAGTTCGGGTTTCCTGTTCAGCCAAGTTGGATTTTGGCTCCGTCCTTTGAAAAATAGGATTAGATTTTATAGGTTGGACCTTGCTGAATCCATACGTGATGGTACATTTTTTGAAGCATGCATTTTTGAAAATAGTCGTAGATGTAATGGAATTGTTGTTTTGCATACGTATTTGCATAGAAGTTTGGTTTTTCGATTCAGCAAAATTGCATTTTGGCTCATATCTTTGAAAAATAAGCTAGTAGCTTGCTGAACCCATACGTGAAGGTTGAACCGGCCGGAATCGATTTTTCAGTTGTGTGGTGACAGTCGTCCATACTTAAACCAGAGGGCTTTACTTACACAGCAAAAAAAGTTGTTGAATATTACATCGAAACTGCTGCAACCAGGTCAATCTATCGGTTGTGTAATATCACATTGTACGATGTTCATCGATTTTGCGAACAAAATTACATCCATTGATGTAATATTGTATCTGCTTTTTGCTATTACATCATTATTTCATACATCAGCTTGAATTACGTTGATCGATTTTACATTTTTTTTTTTGCTGTGTAGCTCTGGTACTATCCAAGCTAATCGATGCACCCCTCGAAACATATTGAACCCCTCATTTTATCTGTCAAACTTTCTTAGCGAGTCAAACAGGGGAGCTCAATCCCTGTCAATCACATATAGATGCACTATAGCTCACATAATTTTGACATTTTTGGACAATCTGACATTTTTGGGCATACTGACAGCGGCTAAACTGACGGAGGTACGACAGAACAAAACAGCTTATTCTTTCACACTTGCTTCGCAGTGTGAGAAGAGCAGTCTGTTTCAGTCATCCTAGCCCCTATATTCATCACATTGATGTGAGCAACGACAAAATGCGTGATTGTTGCCCCTCTGGAGTCAAAACAATCATAGTGAAGTACTAGAATTTCGACTACAATGTGGTATGCTTATGGATGTACTTGGAACTAATAGGCTAGTGAAGTAGTAAGCCAATTTAAAATCGTTAATTTCCACCGGTTGATATTCCGTTTGATGGTTTACCCGGAATTTATCAAAACCCCAAAATCACATTTAGGGTTGATGCATATATTATGTCACGCTCTAAAGGGGGGGGGGTCTAAGATTTTGTGACAAGCAATGTATTAGGTATATGAAAAACGTCACGATAGGGGGGGAGGGGTTAATTTTTTGTTCGTGACATAATTAATGCATGGGCCCTTATGCGCGAAACGTCTTGTTGATAACCCAAGTCAACATTTGTGATTTCTGTTATGCATTATTGTCAAAAATCACGACTGCAAAGAAGTATAAGACTAAAGCTAAGGCTAAGAAGTAATGTAAACGCTTTAAATATACGGTTTATATGTAATGTAAAACGAATTTTGAATGTTTTTTTTTGTTTATTTTTAATTTCCATCCCCTTAAGTGGTGCGAGCATCGAGTGACAAAAGAAAAACTTGTGATTTGTTCTGGCCTTTTGGGTGAAAAATTACTTAGAATTTTAACATCTCCCATTAAGGCCCGTTCAAATATTATTTTTTTTTTCTTTGGTTTGTTTTCCGTCGATCTTGTTTTCCGTGCTGAGCACCAATGCTACCGACGCGCCAGGAAGGCAGCTCCCACACCTGGACCCTAACTATCGACCCATCAACTCATGAACAGGGGACCAACGGCTTTACTTCCCTTCCGAAGGAAGGCGTGATCAGAGATGTTATCTCAGAACATCCGGCGGCGCCGACTGGGATTGAACCCAGGCCTGCTGGGGTGAGAGGTAATCCCGCTTACCACTACACCACCGGCCTCCCTTAGCTCAGTCGGTAAAGGCGCAGCTACAAAGCAAGACCATGCTGGAGGTGACTGGGTTCAATTCCCGGTCCGGTCTAGGAATTTTTCGGGTTGGAAAATTTCTCGACTTCCCTGGGCATAGAAGTATGATTGGACTTGCCACACAATTATACTAATGCAACAATGGTACAGGCATCGAAAGTTCTCAATTAATAACTGTGAAAGTGCATCTAGAACACTAAGTTGAGAGCACGCAATAAGCTAATATGCGATATGCAATAAGCTTGAAATGCGAAGAAGGAGGAAGGAAGGAGGAGGACTACACCACCGGCGCCGTTCGTTCAAATATTATGTAACGCAAAAAATGCGATTTTGGGGTATGTAAAACGCCTTTTTTGCGTTACGTAATATTTGAACGGGCCGTTACCGATCAATCGTGCAAGCACGACACAATGCGTCAGTTGACTATTTTTTCTTTTTCCGAATCACTGATTGCCGAAATGAGTGATAACGAATGTAATAAATAAATATATTTCTTGATTTATTATAATATTATTCCTCGTGAAATAAAATTCGATGAAAAGCTACATTTTGTTTAATGTTCTGCAACGTTTTATTTTATTAATATCAAATTACCAAGTGCATCAATTCTCCATATTTTTTACCGATTTTCCGGCAAAATCAGTTAAGGAAAATTTGTAAAATATTTTGACAGAGAGCGCATTTGCCCATTTATAGTACCCATTAAATGAAAAGGGGCACTTTTAGCAGAAATGGGTATTTTTAACCCATTAATCGGTAGTCGTCAAAAACAGCGTTAACCGTGGATGTGACAACCGAGGGCCCGTTCAAATATTACGTAACGCAAAAAATGGCACCATTTTTGCGTTATGTAATATTGGATCGAGCTCTGACTTGACTGAATTGACACCAATCAAATCACAACCAACGATAGAAACGGTCTTTATAACTTAACAATTCTTATGTAGCTAATCGGAGCTCGCCTACACAAACTAATTACTATAAGGTCAGGAAGCATTCACCCTATCCAGTTGTACATCATTTTCAACCGTATTTTGTTTTGATTCAGTTAAGAGTAAAAAAAAAAGCTAGGTCCTAAGTAACATTGATCAATTCTCTGCATCGACATTCTCTTTCGTTAATAACTTGAGCACAAAACCGTTTCTTGTTGTGTTTGTCGTATTAGATGCTAGATAAAAGCTTCTTTTATCTATCTGTGTGCTGAAAATACTTGGAAATGTCTTTACATGGCCGTGGAGATACAAAGAGAAAGTAGACGAAGAGAATCTGTCAATGTTGCTTAGGACCTAATGCAATGTTCAGCTTGAAATGGTTTGATCGTTTGTTTTTTTTAGACCTGACCTGACCGCACTGATAAAAAGTTGGTTTAACCTGAACAATAAAAATTTCTGTTGAAAGCCATCCCTAAACTGCTTGACAAAATGGTTCATTTGAACATGTTGCATTTCCTGTTGCTACCTCACCCTAGTTGCCTATTAGCTATGACAGCGTTACTATTTTTGTTTGCGGTTTTATTTGAATGCATAAGAGCATAGATTTTCTGTATTATTGTTGCGCACATGTCAATAAGAACCCCCAGCCGAATAAAGTTAGTTCAGGACGTAATGTGTGCTTCCTTTATGTACATACGCGTTCATTCAAATTGAAATTTCCAGTAAGTTTAGGCCGACAACCAAATCTATTGTCTAACTGTCAGATTTACTGCAACGGATCACCAACAGATGCAATGTGCGTGGGCCTTTAAATAGAATGTATAATACATATTACCACGTTGTTTATCTCGAATGCACTTCACACAGTCTTGACTCATTCATAAAGATACACTATAAAATGTGAGTATGGCAAAAATGTCGTCCTTGATTGTATTTATGTGTGAATGTTCGTCGCTCTTGCGAGAAAAATACAAACGCAGCATCTCTATCCTGGTTCTCACACAGATTCATTGAAAAACGCGTCGACCAGCCAGGAGCATTGAGAGGATGAAAAGAGATGAAACAAAATGAATGGCGCGTTTTCCTTCGGCCAGAGAAAAATTTTGCGATAAGGACACAGCCCTGACGAAGGAGCGGCCTAAAATGAATTGCGAATGATAAATGATTAGAAAACGGTTCTGATCAGATCCTGGGAGAAAATTTCTAATGAGCTCGAGCTATGGCAGTTCTTCTTTCTCTTTGAATACACTTTTTGGGCGGGTCAGCTAGTCTTATCGAATTCCGTGAATCCTCTCTATCCATATATATATTACAGTTATTGTGCTTAATCCTCTAATTGTCCAGCAGAGTACACGATTTCAATTCACTTGGCGTTGTATCCCAAATGACTATCATTCACGATACTTCAATTTATTATTGGAGCAGGTGTAATTTTCGATCAAGCAAATCATGAATAGTTAACTAACACCGCACTAATCGAGGGTTCAATTAATTTTGAATGTTCAAAGCGAAGCAATCTCCACTACTGCAAACTATCTTCGAGGCGCACATGAAACGCTGTGGTCTTTTTGTATCTCTGAAGTATCCTTGTGCTTACCCGACGAATGAAAAGCAGAAACTGGATACGTGAGAAAATCACGCGAGAGAGCATACTATGTAGCTCCATGCAGGCGACGCAGAGTGTCAGAGGATAGCTGGTTATTGTCGAAAATAGATGTGGTTGATAACAAGTTTATCCACAGAGCTGAATGGATAGGACGAGATGTAAAAGAAATCATCTCTTTTTTCATAGTGCACTCAAAAATGTACTTCGTTTGTCAAATGCATAAGAAAACACTGGCTGTTATAAGCCTATCTTGATGACATTTTGACGTAGGACTACGTCTTTGATTTCTACATGGGGGTACACTTTGTGAAAACTGAAAATGGAACATGTAACCAAATTATGAAAGATTTTGAACGTTAATAACTCAGCTGCCCCTGAACCAATTTCAATAATTTTATCACCAATCGATCACGGCTACGCTTACGCATCGATATCAATGCTTTGTTTATGTTCAACAAAAAAACTATTGAAAAAGTAGTAAATGTCAAGCATTGTCCAAAAGCGTCGAAATAATTAACAAATACACCAATTACGTACATGCATATGCTGCTTCCCCAGCACAGTCGTCAGAGAGTAGTAAGTAGACGAAACAAGTCGAAGGGGCATTCGCCTCCGATCCTCGGGCGCGTGCGAATAGGGAGGATGGAATTGCGTAATATTTTGCACACTCATCGCCATATTCAAAACCACATGCTCCCAACGACCACACAAAATGCTCTCCAGAGTTGTAATCTTGTAACCAAACTTAGAAACAGGGGATGCACTCAAAAAATATATCACACACGGGAACAAATCAAAAATCCGAAATGAGATAAATGACTCATGATTTCATGAACATAGCGTATTTTCATGTTATGAAAATACACCATGAATAATATTCATGATATCATGAGCTATGTTTGCGTAACGCACCCATGATTCCGGAAATCATGAATCATCCGAGTTAAAATCATGAACTAAATTCATGACTTTAACTTTTAGTTTTTAAACCAAAACATGTAAAAAAATAAGATAAATCATCAAACTGGATTCGAACCAAGAACCTTACGATCACTAAACCCAAACTTTGACCACTAGACTATCAATACTTGTATCAGAAGGAAGGCAAAAGGCGTATAAGAGATACCTACCCAAGTAGCCAAAAGTTCTGATAAAAGGCTATTTATGGCTTAAGCACCTTGGTTGAAGGTGGTCTATAGAATTCTAAGCAGCCTCATTTTAAGTCGTTATAAGAACTTGAAAGTTCCGGTACCATAATTGAAGAGCATTCTAAGCAGCCTCTGGCGGAACTTGAACGGAACTTTTAGAAAATAAATTAAAAAAGGTTTTTGTCCTCTACACCAATTCTATATTTAGTTCGCACTTTTATGAAAGCTATTTCTAAAGGCAGGTATTAATGAGTATTGATTAAGCATTAGTAGTAGTAATGGAGCTGTTTGAAGAATTTAACCCAGTCCTTCTGCGTGAGAGTCTCAGCACGAACCACTACGTCATCTGAAATATATTAAAGTAAGCTGTTGTCCCGCCTATTGTTGAAGTTTTCTGAGCCAGCTGACTGACTTGAATACGAAACACAACACCTTGATGAATTTAAATTGGTGTTTGCCCGCATGGTATTCATTCACACTTGTGGCGCAGTGGTTAGCAATCGTAGATCACATGCCGAATACACGGGTTCGAATCCAGGAAATTACTTTTTAATTTATTTTTTATTTTTGGATAGAATGTTGCATAAATATAAGAATTATGATTTATTCGGGCCACTGATTATTTCATATTTACGTACATTAAATTTTGTTACAAAAAGAGATTTGTGCGGATTGCTTCATGTGGCTTGAAAGTTCTGTCGGAACTTTATTTGAACTTTATGGAACTTGAAAGTTCTGTCGGAACTTTATTTGAACTTTATGGAACTTGAAAGTTCTGTCGGAACTTTATTTGAACTTTATGGAACTTGAAAGTTCTGTCGGAGCTTTATTTGAACTTTATGGAACTTAAAAGCTCTGTCAGAACTTTATTCGAACTTTATGGAACTTGAATGTTCTGTCGGAACTTTATTTGAACTTTATGGAACTTGGAAGTGTTGAATGCGGAACTTTTGGTTACTTGGGTATGTAGTGCAGTGAACACGGTTTTTCAGGTAACGCTTGAAGCGGTCATGATTCCGCTGCATTATGAAATCATGAATTTCCATAACGAAATCATGAATCATTGTTATGATTTCAAGGGTTGGCAAGTTTTTTGATTTCATGATTTTTTGTTCATGATAATGGAATCGGATTTTTTCCCGTGCATATGTAATGCATGAAATCCATGTGAATTTCACATAGCTTTCCAAAAAAGTTGACGACATCCTAAAGAAATCTTTTATGGACTTTGTCGTTCAGTTCTTTCCTGGACATTTTTGTTAAATAAGCTAGAATTAAATAAAAAAGTTTTTTTTTTCCATATATTTTTAACCGCTTTACTACCAATCCCCAGAGAGCCAAATCATTCAAATTTGAAATAGAAAATTCACTTTCACGATCTCAATATCTCAACATTCCATGTATTTTGATGACACTCTGTAACATTTGGTGGGGGTGGGAGGATTAACATTTGAAGTCCCTCCCATTTTGCATATTCTGCATAAAAAATACATAAAAATTCCCTCCCTTTTAACATATTCTGCAAGAAAAAACTATTTAAACAAAATTTCTGGGAAAAAAACTGAACGATAATGAATGATTTCTTTTGACTTATTTGCCCAAATATGCATCCAAAGCGTTCCATCCACTTTTCCAAATTTCTTACTTACTAGGAACAGCGCCATCAATGAGAAAAAATAGCATTGGCTTAATGGTGAAAACTATTTTTGTAGTTCTTTAAAAATTCTACCAACAATCAATACGAAACTAACGATTTTAAATTGCCTCACTACTTGACTAGCCTATTGGTCCCAAGCAAATCGATTGACGTACCCCATTCTAGTATAAATTCCAGTACTACACTATGTTTGTTTTGATTCGCAATGAAAATTTGACAGATAAAATGAGGGATGGATTTTCCTATGTTTCGAGGGGTGCATTGATTAGCTTGGGACCGAAGATAGTACCAGAGCTGAGCCAAAAAGTTGATCACGTTTCTTCGGGACCTTCTGGTTACCTCTATGATTGTACTCTAACTCTTAAATGAACTTGGTGGCCCTGAAAAGGGCCGTTTTGTTACTTGGTTGTTGGTGATAATGATGCGTAGACGACATGCATGGCCGTGACTGTCTGCGCTTGGCGTGTTCAGTGACGGCAAGTGTCATTGGAAGGTTCTGCATGATAACATCCAGGGCCTGCCATTCGTCGTCTGGCTCGATGTGGTGGTGTCAAGCTCATCTCCGGTCGAGAAAATGTGATCCATGATGCCGTCACTGAACACGCAGCTGCCTACACGTCATCATCATCTTCCAAAGGCTTTAAGCCTACCATCGGCCACCAACATTTTCCAAAAGAGTTAATTTTCTGAACATGTCCCAACTAAAATTCATATCAAAAGGTTCTTTTCAGGGAAATCATAGTCATACTAAAGAGTATAAACAGAGAGAACCCCGCTAAAATTGACCACTTTGTCAAGCAGTTTTGGCGTGACTTTCTAACAGCGATTTCACAAAACTGGACCAACTTATTTCTATTTTTTTAAGAAACGTACAATTGTTGGCTACTTTTCTCGTGGTTCTACACGCAAACCAAAAATCTATTACAATGAATGTTAGTTCCGTTTCCTATCATCCTCTGTTCATGAACATCGCAACGAATGTTAGAAATTGACCATGCAGGCGATGTAATGGTTTTTTGTCTTTTTTTTATTTCGTGTTCCATCTACGCTTTCGACTATACCAGTAAGCTTGTAGAACGACGCACATTGTAGAACATTGTAGAACGACGCACACACTTATCTCGAATCTCTCCAGCAGAAAAAGCATACGAAGTCGAGCATGCGAGAAAATGAGCGCGTCATCTTTGCTTTTAGGCTGACCATATTCAGAAGCATGGAGAGAGCAGTGGAGGAAGCACAGGTCTGATAGTCGCAACGTCCGTGGTTCGAGTCCAGTCAGCAACCTTTTTTTCTATTTTTTTCGACATAATTAATTTCACTCACTAATACACTCCACATTTTTCGGTCTCCAATTTTCTTACATCGGACCGCAGCTAGGTATGTCGCATCCTCGGTTCATGCGGTCTCCACTTACATCCTCTGATGATGAATCCCACATAATTGTAAGCGAATCTTACATCCACCGGTTGGGTGTAGAAGAAAAAATCTCAAAATAATGTTTTATTTCAAAGTTCGAGTGGTAGTAAACGTCATTTTAACTGCTCGAATGAAGTGATTAATTCCTATCCCTACACAAAACACAAGCTCCTGCTGCAGTTAACAAAAATATTTATTATATCATACCACGTAGTCCTACGTCATCATTGCGTACAACCCCATTGGGCTGTCCCTTGTAGTTTTTTTTTTCTCGATAATTATTATAACATGAAAGAAGTCTGTAGTCTGAACGTGGGATTAAAACTGTCGAGATAAGGCATCATATCCTCGAAAACGGGCAAAGGATGATGACGTTGTTGAGTTATTTCTCTGTTTGCCTTCCTCATATCTACACACACAATCGTACTCCTCGACCGTCTTTTGGAGTCACGACCAAAAGTGATGTCCTGGTGATTTTTTTGTAGCAGACTCGATTATATCTTGATCCAAAAGTTTTTGGATTTCACTGTCATTTTTGACATGTTAGCGTCTTTGTTTCGAGGATTTTTTAGATTTTCGTGGTTTTTAGTTTCTGTTAAATTGTTGCAAAATAGTGGCAGGTAGTGCACAACACTCTGCAGTTTTCTCCATTGATAAACTCCCTGGTAGACAACGATATCACAGCTTGCCGTAGAATGCAGCCATCCATCCCATCGAAACTT